AAGGTCAAACTCAAGGTCAAATTGAAGGTCACCGTTGAATTCCTCGTTGAAAATTACTTCAGAAATGACCTTGACCTTCTTCAAAAATACCTTACATGAGAAAATATTCAGCCGTCCCGGGACTTAATTGACACCCTGTATATATAGGACTATGGAGAAGTTCTATATAATCGTCGAATTTATGGATGGATTGCAAATAGTGCCAAATAATTGGCTAACGAATAGCATGTTGGAATCATATTAGTCGCCATACACTACAACCAAAAGATACAACAAGAGTACGTTTGATGGAATCGCCATCAGAACTATCTTGGATAAAACATTCCATAAAACGAATAATTACAACTACACGTTAGTAATTTCTTGTTTTGTGATAGTATTTAAAGTGACAGTTTTAAAGTGCTCTGATTACAAATAAATAATGCATATTTATTATTCTAGCTGATTACCAGAAAGCTCGAATAAAATTAAAAAAGACTGAAGTTTTGTTAGACATTAATTCAGACTCTGATTTTAATGAGAAACTGAAGCGAAGCAGAAAACATAGAGCATGTGTCGCGAAAGAAAGCGATGATGATTCTGTTGACGAAAATGCCGTTATCGTACCATCTTTTCCGAAAATTTCAAGTACGAATGAAATTCGAAAACGGAAATGGTCAACGACGGAAACTGTTCCACCGGATATGGCTCATGGTACTATCACCACTAGACATTGTTATTATATAGTCTTCTTTCTATCACTATTCTATTTTGTTTTAATACGGATATATATGTATTTTTATTTTTGCATTGTAGAAAAATTAATTATTTAATTACTACTTCACAGATGATAATGCAACGAGCAACTGTTCGCAGCAGTTACGAAAAGATTCCGAAGTGCACTACGCTCAGACCACATCAGCATGTACAGTTACATATTATTATGTAATAATCATTACTTAATTCAAATTTGTATCTTAAATTGGTTCATTTATATTTTAGGCAAGAATATGAAAACTGCTAATAAATCAAGCTTAACAAATCTGGTAAAGACTATTCATTTACCACTTGAAAATTATCCAAAAACATCGTTGGAGCACATGGATCTTGAAAAAGCAGATGAAAGTATAAACAATAAGAGTAAGTATACAATACCATTTCTTCAACGTAATGTTGAACCCGTGGAACTAACAAGTAGAATTAAATGCTGAAAAAAAATTAATATATTTTCAATTATTCTAATATTATTCTATGTATACAGGTATATTCAGTATTTATTACGTAAAATAATAGAAATTTCAAATAAGCAATTTAATAGCAAAGTAATAGCAATTTCAAATAAGGGAAGTTTTGAAATGCCAGAATGAAATAAATTCCAAATTAGATCGAATTCTGCTACTTGGAGCATTAAACAATATTTCCGAAAATGAAGAAAACAGAAACGAGATAACAACGATACGTAATGCTAAATTTTCCGCTAACTTCGTTAGAAGATTTAAACAAAATGGAAGAAAAATTATCAGAAGAATCCTTCTATCAGAACTTGGTAAAGTTTACAAACATTTTATAATTGATATAATTGAGTTTTATATTTAATGTTACAAATATTGATTTTGTTTCTAAATAGGCAAAGAATTTGATTTTAATTGAAGGCAGGGACGTAAAGATTTTATGTCTTAACTTAATTAAAAGAATATTTTCGAATGAAGTCTCTGAGCAATTTAGTTGGATTGGCGGCAAGAAAAAATTAATATTTAGCGACCTGAAACTATGCAAGCTATTATAATGTAAGTTCTAATACACGTTTATCACTTCACTATACAAATTTTGTATACTTATATATAATATAAATATAACTATATAATATAAATAAAACTAATTAATAATACATGCAAAATACATAAATACATGGCAATATTAATAAAAGTATAACACTGTGTGACACAAATTTTAGACCATAAACCAGACAAGATGATTTTTATAGATTTTTTGTCGCTGAAAACAAATCCACTAATGAAATTGCTCTATCACGTCACATTTTAGAGAAAATTGGACCTAAAGGTGTCGAAAATGCTACCTTTAGCTTTCATTTTTTGATACTTTTTAACATAAGTATCTTAAAAATGTGACGTGATAAGACAATTTTATTAGCGGATTCATTTTCAGTGATAAAAAATCTATAAGAATAATCTTGTCTGGTTTGTGATCTAAAAAAAAAGTTTAAATTTGAATACGTGTACCATTGAATAAATATTAATTTAGACTGTAATTACATATGTGGTGAGGTGCAAATACAAGAGTTGTATTAACAATGAGGATGAATTCTCAGGGCCTATTAAAAGATAGTTGGCACATGCCAAGGAGAGAAAAAAAAATTCGAAATAAAATATATATTTAGTTCTTTAAATTTTATTCCAATTATTTAAAAAATATCTAAACTAATCTAAAAAAATAACTAAAAATACAAAATAATTTGGAGTTGTATCCCTTTTGAAATGGCGGTGCAAAATATCAACGTTTTAATTCTAATACCCCGTAACTGAAAAATCCAAAACAGGAGACATTTTATTTTGTTTTCTATCAATTAATACATTTTCTAAATTTGATACTTATCAATTGATAAAAAACAAAATAAAACGTCTCTTGTAAAATTTGGATGTTTCAGTTATGGGGTATTGGAATTAGATTGTCGATATACCGGGTATATACTGAGGATATACTGAAAATATTCTGAACATATACTGAGGATATACTGAAGATATATTGAGGATATACTGAATATTAAAAAAGTGGACATTTGGATATATTAAAAATATGCTCAGAATATCTTAGATATCCTACGAATATTCAGTATATTGCAATATACGACTATTGATATTCTGAAAATATCTTCAAAATATCATTGTGCTATCTGGGATCCTCTTTTATTAACTTTGCAAATCAATATATCGATCGGTTTCAATATAAAATGAAATAGATATGAATGAAATAAAAATTAACAAAATAAAAAAAATTGTAATTAAATTAAAAGAAAATTTCAAAATATTTGAAAAGAAATAGACATCTTCTTACAACTGATCAATTGGTGTAGTGAGATCTTGAAATATCTTGTTTCGTCTTATACTGCGTTCTGGCTCTTCCATTGCTTGTAAAGAAAAAGCAATGAATTGTGAAAAAGCTTGTTCTGCAGATTTGGAACTAACGTCTCTATGTGATGTTGAATTCAATTTTAGCTGAGTACAAATATCAACAGCTGCGTTAGTTAGGTCAGGTAAAGTGTCATTTTTATCGTTTTTTGTTGCACGTTTTTTTTTCATTGTTTTATGTGATTTTTCATAAAATATAGAATCATCAGTTGAATCGTATTCAGTATTACCCTGGCTTGACGAAGATGTTTCAAATTTTCTTTTCAAATCGTCACTTTCTGCCACTTTTGTTTCTTGCAATGCAGCTGCATTCTTATTAAAAAAAATAGCAGATATTTGGGCATTCTTATCTTTTTCCGTATTTGTAAAATTTCTATGGAAAAAATTAAGTAAAAGTAAAATAAAAATTTAATGTGCATATAAATATTGATATATGTATAAAAATTTGTATGTAAGAATTATGTAAAATACTGACCGTCTTCTTTGAATGTGTTTACGTAGAAAGGACAATTGCGATAAAAGAGAAGATTTCTTTTTACTATAACCTGCACTTTCACTGATTAATTCATTTTTTCTCATTAACTTCGAATATTGTTCTCTTAATGTTGTTATTCTTTTTTTACAATATTCAGCCGTGTAATAATTTCCTGGAAAATATTAATTGAATAATTATTTTACGAATAATGAAAAAAGAAATTAATTTATTACATACATATTGAAGATCTATCGCAGAGAACAAATATATCTGAAAAATGTCCTAAAAACATTTTCTTAAAGCGTCTTAAAGTAACTTTTGTAAGGCACTTTTCAAACAGACACATATACACATTTATATTATCTGCATTTATTTAAATAAAAATAATCAATACAATCCATATTAAAATTAAATAAATCTAGTATATTTCAAATAAAAAATTATTAAACTTAATTTGTGAGAAAGTTATTCATAAGATTGATGGAAATACAATTGATAACAGGATCAATGTTTTAAAAAAAGTGTCTGAATAATGATGATTATTCTAATTAAATAATAAAGAGAAACAAGATTATTGTATGTAAAATCAAAATTTCAAAGAAAACGAGTTAAAAAACAATGTAATATTCACAGATATGTTACTATGGTAAATAATATACCCTGTAGTATTCATTTTTGTAAAAATTTAAGTAAGAAAGCTTATAATTTCACATATATTAATATCTAAACATACTCATAAGGCATCTTTAAGATATTACAAATTGAGATATAAAATGTCTTACAAAACATTCGAAATGACACTTATTATGTTTCACATAGCGTAATTGTGATATCCAACGCATTACT